ATCATGGCCACTTGCACCATCGGCGAAGCCCATTCTAGGAGACCACAGTTGGCGCGAATGAGCACCTGCAAAGCGCCTATATTCCCGTGCCTCTTGTGCCTCGCGGCCACACTTTTGTGGGACTAGTGGGGGTGATTCTAGCTGACTGCGGGAGGCACAAACGGTCGCCCACGAGGCGCCAATCGGGCCACTCCTCTGGTGCCTCGCAGGCGCCCATTCACATTGCCTATTGACGCCATTCTAGACCACCGTGGTAGGTGTGAATTGGTGGCCACGATGCGCCAATCCGCATAACCCTCCCATGGCTTACTGGCGGCCAGCCAAACCACCAGCCGGGGGCCACTCAAGTCCCCTATGGGCGGCATGATTGCACGTGCTGGCAGGCGAGAACTACAAACTCAGGCTGACATTGCCATGACACCCGCCTATACTAGAACTTGGTGGGTTGGCGGGCGAAGGGGGTTGAACGCAAAAGAAGATTCAATGCACGACAAGGTTTGTTGAGATTGTGCTTGAAAGCCATTGCGGCCTCGACAAGGAAGTCTCCCCAACCGTCGTTGTGCCCGTACCACGTGTGTGGAGGGGCTGCTACGACCTGATAGGTCTGTGCCTTCAAAGCCATGTTTGCTGCCAACTTTGTCGCCCAGACGGCGGGTGGCAAAGCTCGGTGTTGAGGGGACCCAACACCAAAGTGAGTGCACCCCTCCCAGGGCGCTTGGGTGGGCAGGGGGGGCTAGTCGGCCAAGCGGGCGAAGGCGGGGTGGGAGGGCTGTGCGCACCGCCTAATCCAACATGGGGGGTGTCATGCGAGGCGGGAAGTGGGGGGAAGCCGTCTGGGATTTAGCTGATGCATGGATGACTGGGGCGCCCATGGCGCAATGGCCCACCTCTGCCTAGGAAGACGAGCAATATTGCAGACCAGCGGGATAGGCAATTCTGCAGTAAGGGGGGTCGATATGAGGGAGTGGGCAGGGGTGGGCTGGGGAGGGATTGGAGGAACCCTCTGTGACCACGCTTGACAGGCTCTCACGACTAGTATGGCGAGCTCCCCATGGCTGCGTTTGGGTGCTTGGGGGAATTGCCATAGGTGTTCCACTCCGGCCACCTTGGAAATGGCAGTGCGGCGGGGCGCGGTCGACTAGACAAGGGCAAGGGCACCGGGGATGGGCCCCATGCCCAGCGCATTGCCAAGGCGTCACCAACGCATGCCCTTCGACCCACCACACAATCCCGCCCACCCAACAAACATACAATGCCAAGCCCCGTTGCCAAACAAACAACCAGACCCTCTGGAGCCATGGTAGAGATGCGCACTATGTTAGGGCGGGCCCACCATATTGGGGTAAAGAGTGCTACAGGCAGAACCTTCATAAAACCACAAGCACAAGTCACAATCCGGAGGAGGGTGGGAAGCCAATCGTCGCATCCCAATCCAACCACTTTCGCTGCTCGTGGCCACCGATTACAACCATCCACGTTGGGTGATGGCCTACCATCGTGCCCGCCACTCAGCTGCCAATCGAGCTGGCTGCGAAGACCAAGGGCGGCCGCCCAGGAAGTGCCACATCCGCATTTGTTCAGGGCCAATCGAATGGGCCATGGGTGCCCCTCTCCTTAGTAGCACAAAGGAGCACGCCCAAAGGGAGCCTTGAAGAAAGTGTGGTGTGGCGGTGCTGATGGCTGGTCGCTATAGAGGAGCAAAAGTGCCGCCAATTGCTAGGAGTCTTGGGCGGAATTGGCAGGCAGTCGGCGGTCCCAGGCTGCTGTCAGTGTTGGGGGCAGGGGAGGGTCCAGACACAAAGACACATAGGCACAAGCTTGGTAGTTTTGGTAAGAAAGGCTGACGATCTTGGCACGTGTTTGCTGCCCGCATCTTCTTCAATGGAACGCTTTGTTGCAGCCAGTGCTGACGACCGTCTGCGCCTGCGTTTAGCGCATTGTCTGCCCAACCTTCTGGTAGTGACCAGCCACAGTGGCCGGCAAAATCGCCACAAAACCCTTTACCATCGCCTCGGCCATGCTATGCAATCCTGGCTGCGTGCATGCCGCTCAATCGCCCACAACGGCTGCCACCAGTAGAAAACAGGCTATTTGTGATGCCAATTGCGACACCATTTGACACAAATTGATGCCATCACAGCCGCTGTTTTGCCATCGCAATCACTGTGACAACATCATTTTGTGTCAAAATGGCATCGTAGTTGGCATCGCCAACATGCCGTTTTCTCCCAGTGTGCTCAGCCGTAGTCTCCGCTTGAATGGCGACCCAGTGGCGATTGAGGCGCCCAACTTGGCCGACACACCAGACGATTCCACAACGCGCCTAGCTGTGGAGATCGCCTGCTATGGCGCCCGTCAATTGGCGGTCAATCGCTGGTCAATCGCAGGGCAGTCGAGGCCTGGGCAGCCAGCGCCTGGGCTGCCCCGCCTTGGGCCTCGCCCTCGCCTTTCCCAGTGGGTGCAGCTCGTTGCAGGCGCGCTCCAACGCGCTCGCTCCTGGGCGCTCGCTCGTGTCCCGGATCAGCACGGATGATAAAACGTTCAAGAAAAAAACACGTCGAGAACAGAAAGCCAAAGGGATGCTAACCTGCAACGGAAATCCTTGTCCAAAACAAACGGAAAACTAACTAACAAAAACACGAATCATGACAATAGTAGCAAATTCTATTATCCACTTGCACCTCTGTTGTGCACCCCTCTGGGGGTGCCACAGAGGATGGGACATTGTCAGCTGAAAAGAAGGCCATTCGCTGCCACCTATTTTCCTGATCAAACCATAGATTCTCAACAGTATTTGATCTTGAGCGGGCGCTGAAAATGCTGTTGCAGTCTGCAACTATTGGTGCATCAATTGATGCACAAATTGGTGCAACGATCAGCATTCAAATGGCCAACAAATGGTGCAGGAGTTCATGCATTCAATGGCTTGCCAAGGCCTCAAAGGCTATTTCTATTTGGCTTGCACATTATACAGTTGTGTGTATTGTGTCACAACTATCAAAGAACATCTGGGTAGTCTAACCGACCACACGATGCTACACCGTCGGGTTAATCAGAGGACCGCGCTTGTGAATATCCGGCCTTGTAACCAATTAAAGTATTTCAAAAGCATAAATGCATTAGGAGGAGCTAAATAACATGCAAACAATTCAATTTAAAGAGGTTATTAATTACCACTCTAGAAAATGGTAATAATGCCGAAAATCCAGGTGTTCACATCATAGATTATATGATGTTTTAGCACTTAATTGTGCTTTTGGAACAACTCCTGGCTTGTGTACTGTTGACAAACAATGGTTTGGGTATCTTGTTTGCTCTCCCCCTCCTCCCAATATCAAATTGATGCTAAGCATACCAAAATCACGTAGTGTACTCCCTCAACATGTGATGTCATGTGTTTGGAAAAAAGAGAAAAAAATGAAAATAAAAGAAGGCTTAGCCTTTCGCGGTAAGTACTCTAAAGTACCAAATCTACAATATTGCACAAGACAAATGCTATATTACAAAACTCCATTCCCAACTAGCTGGAGTTCATACATATTGGATATTTGGATATGCACCCACCCCTTTATGACTCTGGCGCCAACAGCAAAGCCCTATCCAGAATTCTGAACATTGCAACTTGCCAATGGCTAGTCATGGAAAACCTCCACAAATCAACACAGGTCAACATTTATTGATCACATTGAAATAGCCGAGCACACGAAGAGTTCACGCAATGCTCATTGAGTAGTTGTTATGTTGTTGTCAACAACATAAAAACACCTAGGTTAGATCAACCGCCCAATGAACATGAAACTGCACATCCCTTAAAATTCAAAACAACACATGATTGTTGTTGGTAATGTAGATTCCTTCTTCATACATGGTCAAGATATGTGTGTGGCAGCCACATTCTTGGATCAGAGAACTGTTGGACAGTGCCCCCATATGGCACACAAAGTTAGACGCCCCACTGTATTGCTCCGCCCTGCCTGCTACCTTTCCAACCCATCCGAAGCCACCCAACAACGTGACCTAATGTACTTGTAAGCGCTGTACAACAACAATTTCTCTTCTCCTCGTTTCCACCATCGCTTTCATTTGCTAATTCATCTTATTGGCTGCCACAATTGACAATCTAACTCTTAACAATGCCACGTAGTGCCCATTCATGGGATAGCCACAAAGTGCTTCCCCAATCGAGCTGACGCCGGATGCAATACCAGTCAATGTTTATTAAACGCTCGCCCCCATACAACAAGACAAAAGTGTTCATTGTCTGTGCCAATATCAGCGCGAGCACCGAAATTTGCTGACTTATCCACGGCCGCTCATCATGCCCACAACCCTCCCTAGTTTCTCCTCATCTGCACGTTCGCGTGTGCGCCCATCCCAAGCAACGGGTGGGGGAATAAATAGTCACATACATTGAGGTGAAACGACAATCAACAAAGTCATGAAAATCGGTACAAATAGCCTGAAGGAAGCATGTACAAGGCCCCTGGAACATCACACAAGAGAAGAAATTCAGAGCACATACATATGGCACTTCCTTGAAAACACAATGCAGTCCTAGTTCAAGGTGCAGAACAATCATGGCTGGGATTGGACAATCGCTGGTAATACTTCTGACGTATTGCTTGTCTATGCTTGCAAAATTCGGTGCAAGGCGTTTGCTTTGCCGAAATGCAAAATAAATGGAACCACAAAAATTCCATCAAGCAGTTAATGTGACTGCACAAGCACTTATACATAGCAAAAAAACAACCTTCAGTGAAATTCTTCTCATCATATTTGCTTAGAACCACAAACTTGCGATACCACATTTCCTGGAAACCAAGTTTCTTCACACAACAAGATAGAGTAGGGCTTGACTCACTGCAGCACTGACAGCCATTGTTTTGCATCACTGTGTCAGTGGCCACAATACTTTCCTCCTGTTGCTAACAAGGCAAACGCAATTTAAGCACAATTACTGACAGTATCTTTTAATGCACACCTCATGATCTTCGTGGAGATCATGGAAGACCTGAAAGCTGCGGAATTGCCATCCAACTAGGAGCTTCAGACGCGCTGGTCCCACCGAAGCTTGACACGCTCGACAAGTCATCGCTGAAGCTCATAGAAAATCCTTGCATATTGCCTGTAGGCGAAGTCGATGATGATGGCGACACCCCAGTACCACGGCAGTCTGCACCTGAGACGCTCAGTGGTGTGCTGGCTATGTTAGAGTCCACGGTAGGTTGAACAGATAGCAATCTGGGGCTCATAGGGGTGCCAGACTGGCTTCCCACCTCTTCCATCGACTGAGCCAAGAGACTGCCCGGCCCAGGAACACTTGAAGGTGTGCTTGCTCTGCTTGATGTGTCACACAATTGAATCGGAAAGCTGGCAACTGCGCCCTGAACACCTCTGGAGGAGACTCGAGCAAGCGAACCTGTTGAAATTGCAAAGTAACCAACATCAAGGGCAGCGTCTGAGGCGTGAGTCCCTCGCATGCCACTGCCAGTAGGACTTCCAGGTTCAAACTCTGACCCCAATTCTGACCCTTTCATTCCCTGTGGTTCCTTGTGGCCTCCAACAGATGGCATACTTGATCCCCTAGCAGGTGATGTGGCCATGTTACCACCAATTGGAGTTCTGGAACCATGCCAGCTGTCACCACAGCCCACTGGCACCCCACTGTATTGATCACTGGTGGGCGCATAGTAGCCAGCCTCCACTGGGAACCCCTGAAGAGGGTTGAGTGGACTGTTGGACAGATTCGTCATTCCATCGCGATCACCAAAGAAGAGCCTAGGAGAGGGAGGCCTGGGTGGAGGAGTTGCAGATTTAGAACGACCACCAGTAGCATAGTAGCCAGACACAAGTGGGAAATCTGCCAATGCGTTGTTCCTTGAGGTTGTTCGGCCCCTCTCGCTGCGGCCTCGCTCATGGAATGTCCCAGCCCTTGGGTTGCCAAGCAGAGTGCTTGCATGGCTGTCGGTGTCACTGAACTGAACTGGGAAGCCATCTATTCCATGAACGCTCAACGGCGTGCTTGAGTGCCCTTCCCCCTCCCTCAAAGCACCAGCCAAGGCGCCCAGTGTAATGTCACCAGCCGGCAAGCCAGCCCCACTGTAGACATCGCTCATCCTCAACTGCTGTGCCTCACCAATAGGGGTGCTTGTGCTGCAGCACCCTTCGCTCCACAAAATGGGCAAGCTCTGCAGAACAGGTTGGCTGGCTTGTGTTCCTGAGCAGTTCTCCCCTTTGCTCACAGCGATGGGGAAGCTCCCTGGCAGGTGACGATCTGCTGATGCACCATACATAGCTGGGACATTGCTCAACTGCACAGGGTGGCTATCCAACTGAGTGGGCCCAGCAGAGGTGCTTTTCCGACTGCCGTCGCTCGATGCTGCAGGGAAGCTCTTGCACAATTCACTGCCAGCTGATGCACAAGACACAGTTGAGACGTCACTCAGTTGGACTGGATGATACTCCATATGGTTAATGCTGCATGGGATGCTTGTACAACTGGCCCTTTCACACGATGCCACTGTAATGCTCCCAGGCAGTTCAGCTGTGCTTGGAAGATTAGAAGTGTCGCTTGGATGAGCGTTCACCTGAATAGCTTGCACCCATGTACCCCTCATAGGTGTGTTCGAATGTGTACTAGAAACAGTTGAAACATTGCTCAGTCGCACTGGGCCACTCTCCAGTTGGTGACTCCCCTCAAGCATGCTGGCATGGCTGGCATATGTACTCTGCTCCACAGGAGAGTTCTCAGGCAATGCACTTCCAGCTGATACACCCGAAACGTACGAGGTGTCACTCAACTGCACTGGGCAGCTTTCCAACTGTGGGTCACCAATAGGGGTGCTGACTCCGCTGCCTTCCTCTCTCAATTCCAAAGGAAAGCGTCCAGGCAGTCTTCGATCAGCTTGTGCACCAGAAATGCTGGAGACATCACTCAAGCGAATAGGAACACCATCAATCCTTGGTTCGCCAATTGGTGTGCTGGTATGACTGCTATCCTCACTAATTGCGATGGGAAAACTTTGCAGCACATGTAGGTTGACTGGTGTGCTTGCATGGTTGTCTCCCTCATCAAGCTCAATTGGACACAGCCCTGCAATTACCCCATTTACAGATGGAAGAGACAGTGTCGAGAAATCGCCCAGTCGCACTGGGGAACTGTGCAGCTCAGGCACCCCAGTTGGAGTACTGGCATGGCTACCAGCTTCACTCAATGTGACAGGGATGTTCCCAGGGATCTCCAGAGAGTTATCATGACTGGAAACGTCACTGAGGCGAACTTGACAGAACTGCACATGTGGTCCCTCCGCAGGGGTGACAGGTGTGCTTGCCCTGCTGTCCCCATCGCTCACTTGGACAGGAATACTCCCTTGCGCTACAAGATCTGCCAACCCACTAGACACAACAGCCAAATTGCTAAGGTACTGCGCACCAGCCTCCAGCTGAGGGCTATCCACTGACATACCTGCGTGGCTGCCCTCTTTGCTCAACACTGTGGGGAGGCTCTCAGGCAGCCCTTTGTTGGCTGAGGCACCAGAAATGGTTGAGACGTCACTCAGCCTTACTGGTTGACTCTCCAGTTGTGGGCCCCCTGCTGGGGTGCTTGGACGGCTGCCATCGTCACTGTAGACAGCAGGAAAGCTCCCAGACATGTCTGGGGTGCTGGTACAACTGTCACCATGGCTCAAGTGCACAGGATAGGTCTGCACCTGCTGCCTGTCAGTTTCTGGGGTGCTCCAACCACTGGAAGTCAGCTTGAGACGAACTGGGAAAGCCCGCCTCCCTGCTGTTCCTGGTGTGCTGGCACGGCTGGAGACATCGCAGACAGGATGTGCGCCCACCATCCCTGCCCCATGATCCTGTTCAGCTGCATAGCTTTCAATTGATGGCCCGCTACCACTCATACTGGAACCATTGGAAACATCGCTAATGTGGGATGGGAATGCTTCCAACCCCTGAGCACCCATCGGGGTGCTGGAACGGCTCCCCTCCTGGCTCAATTCCACTGGGCAGATGCCAGAGAGTGCACGGCCCCCAGGTGTGGCTGACCAACGAGAAACATTGCCTATGCAGTTGGGATAGCCATCCCCCTCATTGTCGTCTGGCGTGTTAGGATAGCTTCCATCTTCGTTCTGTTCTGCTGGAATACTTCCAGGAATGGGATTGTCAATGGACACACTGGATCGGCCAGACACATCACTCAAGCGCACAGGGTGAGCTTCCACCCTCCGACCAGCTGTGGGTAGACTGAGATAATCTCCAGCCTCCCTGAGCCATGCAGGGTAGTTCCCTGCCACGTCTGATGAAGTGACAGACCGGCTCGAGAGGTCACTCCTGTGGATTCGCTGTCCATCGGACAGCTGCTCTTCAGGGGGGATGCTTGCAGAACTGTCCACTTCTTTGCTCAGCCCCACAGGGAAGCTGCCAGGCTTCTCTGGTGTGTCCGAACGACTGGAGTTGTCACTCACATCAACTGGAGAGGCATCGAAATGCACTGTTGACATGCTAGCTGAGTTCTTGTATTCAAACCCTAGTGGCGATCGATGGCCAATGATCTTAATTGGATAGCTAGTCGTCTCTGCTTCGCCTGTGCTCGGCACATCCCCATCACTGGGGCCCTGGGAAGTGCCAAGTGAATTGCTGGAGTTGATCCTGTCTGCCCCTGCTACCACAGGAATGATGTTGACCTTTTGGCTGGATGAGCTGCTGGCCGGGGAGCCTCCTCCTTCGCCCAAAAAATCAGTAGGAAAGTTCCTGATTTCAGGTGCAGTATCTCCCTGAAAAATAAGACAGCAAGTATTCATGCCAAATCATCGTCATCATCATCATCAGCAGCAGCAGCAGCCACCCAAAATATACGCCTGTCACTGGACGACGATCGTGGACGTGCAGGCAAGCCAACAGGCAAGGCTGGGCAAATCAGCCAGGTTCTGTCAACGCATTCTGTCAGGTAACCTCAGAGTACAATGGGAATCCTGCCTGTCAAAGCCATCAAAGGTTATCTAGCAATTTGACTTGGCAGAATGCACATGTCCAATGCTTGAAACAATGTCGAGGCAAAAGGTAGGTAAGCAGGTGAAGGACAGTGGGAAAAAGTGTGAACTTGGCCATCCTGCAACATAAATTCAGTGTCATTGGATGCAAAGGCCACAAGAACATCGCGATGATCCTGGAGTAGATCTCCAACCTCCTTACCAGTGAACTAGTCATTGGGGGTGAACCCACGAGGGAGCTCACATCTAAACCATCAACGTATTGTCCATCCCCACTGGAGGCCCCCCCACTGGCCATATACTGCCCTGATGGCATGGATCTCTGGGAAGGGCCAGCAACAGGGGCAAAATCTCGACTGTAGTCACTGTGGAACACAGGTCAATACTGTGAACAAGTATTTTGAATTCATATTCGACAAGTGCTTCTCTCATACAGCTTCAAGGCCATGCAGGAGCACTGTGAGTAGGGAATTCCCTCCATTTCAAACTGGAACACAGCATTCTGCAGGATAGCACTACTGCAGTCACACTGAAGCAAGGACAGCCACGTCAGCCATTCCTAATATGTCATGAGCAGAAGGAGACTTGGTTGCGCTGGTTCAACACAGTGCGCAAAAGCTCTTTTAACCATCAACTCATTTGATGGACCAGGTGGTAGGAAACAGATGGAAACACCTGCTGGCTTCCTACTTCAATGCCTGCCTGGGTATAGAGATGATCACAAACCTTCTAGAATTACTGAATTACAAGCCATTTTCCATCGGAGCAACGTCTCAAATATTACTACCAACATTAATAATGGTGGCAGTAATAGTAGGATACAAGGCTTCTAGAAAGAAGCACAAAAGTTGCTCAATCAGAGAGAGATGAAAAGCACTACGATTCTGATGATCTTGACATAAACTTCCATACACTATTTTCTTCCCAGTCCAAAACATGGCAAGCACAATATTTCAAAAGGACAAGCAGTGCTCACCTTGTAGTGACTTCATGAGAAGCTCGCTTGGGTGTGCCAATTGAAATTGTGGATATGAAGGACTTCCAGATTTCTGACAAAGACTTGGCATGGCCACCATCTTCTGGGCATCCCCGTTTGAATGCCCCCAAGTCGCTGTCTAGAACCTTATGTGAGCCCCTGCCGCCACCACCAGTGGTGCTCGTCATCGTTGTCATCACATCTGCGTTCTGATTTCTCCTCCGCTTTATCAGTATCACTGCTACCAGCAAACACAGGAAGACACCAGCTGCAATGCTCAGAGGAACTGCAAGAGCACTGCCGCCCTGTGGAGAGCTGCAGCCAATGCACAAAACAAGTTTCAGCGGACATATTGCAAGAGACACACTGCAAGAAAATGGGCACCCCACAGCGCACTGCCACAACCCATCAGGGCACGTGAGACCCTCCTTAAAAGCAAAGCTGCATACCAATGTTGGAAGTGCAGGTAGCCAGCAAGAAAATCCACACTGCATACATGCAGCCAACTTACATTTTCCACTGCTGCACACACAAATACAATCTAACAAACATGGACCTCCCTCCGTGCAGTCCAAGCATGCAGCCAGTTGCAACAGTGCAACAATGCAGCAAGACAACGCGAGCCAGCATATGCTTACTGGCTTTGGGCCAAGAAACTGTGCTGCTACCAGCTACTTACTCGGTGTTTATGCCAGAAGCTTCCCTTACTGAACCTGGCAGCTCTGTGGCTGCTGGCAAACACCTGCCATTGGCTGGCAAGAACCCAGCATCACACTCGTCACAGCCATCGCCGATATATCCAGAAAAGCAGTCGCAAACACCACCACTTGTAAACAAACATCTCCCATGACCAGAGCAATAATGCGGCGCTCCGGCAGAAGAAGTCACAAGTGCAGGGCACTCTGCAAACTTGAATGCGCAGTCCTCTTGGCACTCCAGATCGTTTGGAGCAGGGAAGTCGAGTGCCCCTGGCATCTCTCCAAACTCACATATGTCGTTCCCGCATAATGGGAGCTTTGTGACACTTGACACCCCCATAATCTCACAAGCATGGTTCTGCTGGAGCAACGCCCTCAGTGCACTGACGTTGCTGCCTCCTAACACCTGCTTCAGTTCTGCAACCGTGAGGGGCAATCCAGGTGTCTCCAGCACCAACAAAAGGTCTGTGGCTTCACCTGCTCGAGACAGGAGCTCTGGAGCAAATTCCTACAGCATCCAGGCAACAACATTTATGTCAAATGAGGCAATGACGCCTGGCATGATTGCCTGTTACTGAAGCACAGCAGCTACACAGCATATAAAAATAGGGGCGCTGGATCTCACAGGCAACACAGCAATATTGGTGATTTGATCTGTCCAGCATGACACTCCAATGCATATCTCCGTGCTCGTCAATGACAGTGCATTGGGTCTGCATGCTATCCGTGCACCATCAATCAAATCATCTGTGGAAGGTGACAGAAGATCATGCAAACATTGCTGATAATAAGTGGCAAACGCCTGAATGCTCACGTTTACTAAAATTTCACACCATCAAAGCAATCATGGCAGCCACCACTGTTGCAACACTGCCTTTGTCCAAAGGAAGTGAAAGGAAACGAAACACATCGGTTGCTATTGTATACAAAAATGGCATGGCTACCAAAAAGCATCCACCCAGTAGTCTACCTCATTGTCCACAGGCAGCGCCTCACTTATCCTTTCATCCAAACAGTTCTGGAGGTCAAAATCAGTGATGTTGGGATCTGAGACTTGGACATTCACCATTATTCTTGTAAGGCACGATGAGCCATCCCCATCGCACACCCCACATTCATCCATGTCACCACTTGCACAACACAGGCCACTTCCATCCAGGAAGGCCTGCAGCAACACAGGCGGCTCAGCACACCGAACAGCATATCTGGTCATGCATGCCAGAAGAAACAGGCACGGCAAACTGTTATCCACTTGGTGCGCACACTGTAACAGGTTGCCCATACTCCCAGCTAATTGCATCTTAGCAGAACAGTGCCCAAGAAACCAGCACAAGGCAATATGTCATTGTCCTTACAATACAACATTGTGCCAATAGCATGCTTGCTCTCAAGCATTCCACAATATACTCCACACACCCAATGCACCCCGCAACAGTGACGGCATTCACTTAACTCACCGAACAGCACATCCCAGATAAATCTATAAACCGCCCATCTCCACCACAGATTCCACAAGCATCAACTGTGGAATTGCAACATTTGCCCTCTCCATCCAGCTCCTGACCAGTGCCACAGCAAAGTCCTGATGAGTCTGGTATGCTGCCTTCTGGGCATGACAGCAGACCAGCACTATCCTTTTCACAATTCTTTCCAGTGTAGCCATCTTGACAGATGCAGTCGCCTTCAACACATGCCCCGCGGCCTGTGCAGCAACGCCATGGTAAGAAAAACAAACAGACAACATTTGGGGTACAACACTACAGTGACAACTGCAGAGGTTGGATGTGCAAAACCCACTAAGGCTCCACCAGCCAAAGATCAGATGGGGGGCGTGGGCCCCAGTATTGCCAGGAGTAGTAATAGGGCAAAAGGGTAACTACAACAGTGATGGCCTGCAGGAGACCATATCTGCAACAGCAATGCCATAATCAGAGCCAACCAGCAAAAGAGCCGAAGGCTGCCAGCTAACAGTTCCAAGTATCACCTGAACATGTCCTGCCACTGCAACTTTCTGTTCGTCCATCTTCTTGCATTAGCTTCCTCTTGCTGGAAGCTACAGTGCATGGAAAGGTGTTGCAGAACTCAGTGTGGGCTGGTCTTGAAAGACCCCGGCCTTGACAGCTGTCAGTGGAGTCATCAGCCATGTTGGGAACCACAGTTGCAAGGAAGCACTCTACAGCTCTTGTCCGGTTGCCACCACCACAATCCTTGGAACACATGCCCCAATCTTCCACCTGATAGTAGAGAACCTCACAGCGCATGGTGTTGCATTCTTTCTCCACAAGATTTTGGTTTATGATGCCACAGGTAGCATTATTGAGGGTGTCGCCGGCTGCATTCGTGCACACTGCAGTTCTGCTTCGCATGCCTGCAGAGAGAGTATGATGCAACAACTTTGGTCAACAAAGGCCGTCAAATGCAAACACCTCCATTTCAATGGGGTCCAAGCAAGCAGCAACTTGTTCTTGTCACTTTTGCGTACGGGGTGTGACAATTTGTTCAGAAGCAGCAAGGCTGTACACAGGAAGGTGGTCACTTCATCCTGCGGTCACAATGCAGCACTCTCTTCACACATCCTAGCACAGCTGCAAATTGTTTTTCAAGCCTCTGTCCCATCTGAGCAACAGCAGCAGTGCTACAACGTATCTTGCATCGAAGCTGCCTCCAAAGCAGCAAGGTTTCGTGCTGGTAGCAGTGCAGACAAGCATGAAGCAACAACACGAGAGCAATAGGGGTGCTGGCTCACCACTGCCACAAGACATGTTGCATGGGCCCCACAGCCCCAGGTCATAATATGCTGGCAGACTGCTGCACGTGGCGACATCACACTCCTCCAAAGTGGTGATGCTATCCACATCCAGATCTGCACAGCGCTCCCGTGGGGCAGGGGTGCCGGCTCTACTGACACAGAATTTTCCACGCTCCTGTGGCAGCCAAGATCGAGGTGCACTGTCAGTGACATAGTGCACGCCAACGCTCCAAATGGTGGTACCGCACTTTAGGAATGCATAGTGAAAGGCGCAGAGCAACAGCTAAAAACCACATGGATCCAAGACTCATTCTTGAAATTGGGACACGCACATCGCCCCAACAGGGACCAACAAAGGTAGCGATCCAGCAAACAACTGCTTTCAGCAGAGTACACTGCAGTTCACCCAACTGCGTTTGGCTCAACAGATTTGTGACTGAAACATGCCACTGTTCCTCTGGCAATACAAAGTGAACCAATAACTCTTGCACGTACATCTCAGCAACAGCTGGATTTCTACTTGTGACCATGCAAGAGTGAGTCTCTCTTGAGAAATGCTACAAGTCCTACAGCCAGTACTGGCATGTTGCCACTCAACTTACCTTGACACTGGCCACCTCATCTGAGCACAGGCTACTGCACTCCCTCCAAGGTCCAATGTAGACTGCATGGCCCTCAGGGGACTGAGCCACCAAGTCTGCCTTACGCCGCGTTGGTGCACTTATGGGTGCAGCAACTTGCCCAGTTGGCACCAGACCCATCATTGGTGTTGGTGCTGGTTCTGGTACCAGTGCTGTTTCTGGGGCTGTCACAGGTGCAGGTGTTGGCACCAGAGCTGGTGCACGTGATGGCACCAGGGCTGGTGTCATTGATGGCATGGGTGCTGGCACCGGGGCCAGCACTTCATCTATCTTGTTTCCAGGTGTCATGCCTTGTGCACCCATTGCATCCCCTGACAACACGCCTGGTGATCTCACAGTTCCAGTTCCCTGCACTGGGGCCAGTGCTTTCATGTCGTCTGCTGGACCTGTTGCATCGGCTTTGTTGTTTGCATTTCCACCTGTATTACTTGTATCAAATGCAGGACCTTGGGCACCAACGTCATCTGCAGTGTCAGGAGTCATGGTTGTGTCTCTCTCCTTGCCTTTCTTCAACTTTCCGCCTATTGTTGAGCTGGGGGATGCTGACGGTCCAGTAGCCTGTACCGACGTGTTGAAATTCCTGGGATCATCAAGTATTCCAGCCTCTTCAGAATCTGCTGTCCCGGAAGTGCCCTTGGATCCTCCAGGAGACCTAGGACTACCACTGCCAGGTGCGACACTTGGTGCTGTCACATCCCCATCTGCCTGTGGGGCCCCTTGGCCGCTGATGGTAGCAGATAAACCAGTCACATCAGGTGCATCAGCAGTGCCAGAAGCTCCCAGTGGCATCTCTGTATTCGATCCTTCACTGCCAGGTCTGTTCTTTATTGGCCCACCCTTGTTTGGCTCCTTGTTGCCAAGTGAACTTGTGCTGTTCCCATTCTGGACTGCAGGTGCGCGTACAGGAATTCTGCCAGGGGGATTCTTTGCTTGTTTAGGCATCTTGGGAGCAGTGCCACCGCTCATCACTGTGCCATTCTCACCTGGGCCAGGCAGCGACACAGTGATGCCATTGCCAGGTTGGCCCATCCTCGAGCTTGAATCAGATGGGTGTGTGCCTTCCCCATTTTGAGAATCACCAGGTGGTGACAGCAGGGCACCACTGCCAGACTGCTTTTTCCCTGGTCTTCTTGTCTTGGGAGGATTTCCACTGGATGGAGCAGAGCCATTTGCAGTTTGCGATGGAGAAAATAGGTCTGGTGAAGACACAGGGATGCCGCTGCCAAATTGGCCCTTCTTTGGTCCAGTCTTGTTGGGCTTGCCACCAGGTGGACCCATGCCTTCCCCACTCACTGACAAGCCAGTTGAAGACACATTTGAGCTGTCCCCTGGTGGTTGCTTCCCTGGCTTCAGCTTCTTGGCAGTACTACCAGCAGTTGGCATTGCATCACTGCTACCTTGTGATGAGCCTGGCCATGATACAGGAACACCGCTGTCGGGTTGGCTCTTCTTCAGTCCACCCATGTTGGGCGACTTATCAACAGGCGTTCCTGTACCATCCCCACTCTGACGCACTCCAGATGATGGCACAGGATTGTCTCCCCCAAACTGATTCTTCCCTGGTGTCATCTTCTTGGGAATTTTGCCTCCAGATGGCACTGTACCACTGCTATCCGGCGAAGTTGTGACACCCAAAGTGGTTCCAGATGGAGACTTAGGCCGGGCTGTTGCCTTTGGCCTTGGTGCTGGGACTGGCAAAGGGACTGCAGGACTTGGTGGGGGGGCACCTGAAGGTTGGGTCCCGTTGACAACCTGACTGTGGTGTGGAAAGAATGAAGAAACTGGCGCAAACAAGTGCGTGGGGATTCTGCATGTCAGCTCCTGCCCCTTGCACACAGTCAGACACTGCCCTGTAGAAATGAAGTGGTGGGTAGGTATATCTATTGCGACTGGCCCACAATCCCACAGCTTGAAAGCCTGCAACAACACATAAGCACATCAATCACTGCAGCCCAGCTGGATTCAAACAAATCCTGGCAATTAGCTGATGTTGATGAAACACATCGGGATGCCTGGATATTGACACATAGCTGCCAGGGATGAAAGTATGGATTGACTGACAAACAGAGCCCTGTTAACAAGATGTACAGATTGCTCTTTGACTATAATTGAGTCTGAGACACCAGTTTTGCAACAGCTGCAGGTAACAGCTTAAGGGGTACAGTTTAGAGAGTATGCCGTTTGGAACAAGTACACAGGCACAATGGTGTGCACAAACAAAACCAGTCAGCACAGCTGTGAAGAGAACATCTTTCATTGCATGAACTAGGTGCTTCAGTGCTGATTGCTTTGCAGGCCATTAAATTTTCAACCCTGTGTTCAATACCCACAGCACAGAATATCAACTATGAGTAACAATGTGCATTCCCTGTACTTTACAGTAGGCAGCCATTCAGGAGATCATGGAGAACTCAGAACACAGATGCAGCTGAGAGAAACCTGCTCTTCAACACCTTGCAAGAGCCTGGGCTTCCTCCACATGAATAGACAAATCAACGAACGATTTGCAGCACACATGCTGTTGTCCATTAATACAGCAGCAGGAGGACCTGTGTACTTACCTCAACCAACTCACACTGCCCTGACTGCACTGTGGTCATCAGTGCGTGATCTATTCTGATGCCACATCCATTCTGAACACAGACCACTTCATACTCTTGTTCAAGGATGCAACCATGCAAATAGCACACATGCGGAAGAGATCGCAAGCATGTGGGCTTGCAAGTCACGTGATCTGTCTCGAATGTCTGCAAACAACAAGGTCATGTGAGCCAATTGGAAATTCAGCAAACGCTGGACCACACATCCCACAAGGCTGCAATGCCCTTGTCCAATACTCCAAGATCGAAAATGTGGGCATCAGAACCTTGAGAGTGGAAGGCAATGTTACATCTATAGTTATGAAGGGGTCAAAGCCAACTTGCACTGCAAGGTCAGAAGAGCTTCTACACTGATTTCAACTGCATGTTACAAGGGGAAATGAAAATGGTCCACATGATCCACCTCTTGGACAGTACATTGCCCAGCTAAATCTGGGTAGATAAATGAACGCATTGGTATTGTGCCAAAATGCAATTCTGTAGTTCTTTCCAACAGGTTCTTTCCGTATGGTACTGATGTGTAGCCATTCCTATGGAAGCCATCCTACACTCATGTGACCTCCACTAACAACACAATACTCTAAGGCTCTTTCAATCATTGTCTTCCGTAAGTCCATTCACCTGCAGAATGTCCACCATTGTGGGGGCATCCACCAGTGCACAGTTGCAGATGTAATTAATGGGGAGGCCATCAAGACATTTGCCGCCTGCATGGCACAGCAGCTGTTGAGCGACACTGTATATTTCAAAAGTATGCAGGATGTCATCATTCAGACTGTCAGCATGTATTATATATTAGTTGCTTGCGGGCAGATATATAGCGCACAAAAGTATGTTCCAAAAACAGCTTCTGAGCTATGCCATGTGTTAATTGCCGTTTGGGATGGTGGCAACCAATACTGAACCAGCTGATATGTCCCCCAGGCGGGTGTGCTCCGTCTTGTCATGTTGGGCAACCTTCCATCAGCACACGTGTCATTCAGCCACCTCCCGTCTAAATGCGCAGCGTTGGACGGTGCGCGAATATCCCCATCCCCCCAACACACCCTAAGCGGAGCGCCCCTCAAACATGTACATAAGCCAATAACATTTCCCGCTGGCCGTACTCCATCCGTTCCGCCTTCGATGCGCGGGGCCCCATTACTAACATCGATCTCGGCAGCAGCGTTCAGGGTTGCAGCACCGTGGAGCCCACCCACTACCAGCAATTGTCTTGCCTACCACCGCCTGTGCTGGCACCTGCGTCCCCTTACCGCGCCCGCTTGCTTCGCCACTACAACTGACTGAGTCTGTGACCACCACTTCAGCCTAGACGCTATGGTGCACCGGGATGTCGATTGTCGAGAGAGGCCAACGCCCCAGTCACCCCCGGACCAGCGACGCAAGCCTAGCCCATCAACCAACAGGAAACGACCAAGTCACAGACGGCAAGCTCAGCGCAATCTTGAATGGCTATACTTCCACATCAGCTGCTGAATGTGGGTCCTCAACCACAGCCGGAAACATGTGTGGATTGAGGGTCTGTCAGCTGGCAAGAAGGGGACGGATGTCTTTCCGTCCGACGCGCAACTTGGGAGACGAGGCCACCAGTTGGGGAGTGCCGTCCGCCGCAGCGCACAGCGCGAGCCAACGATCCGGCTGAAGGCGTTCTTCCCCACAGCCCCGGTCTCCACAAAGACCGCGGGGGAACCAACTGTCGAAGCCCCTCCGGGTCGAACATCTGGCTGTTCGCTGGCTTTCCTATCACTGGCTCCTCGAACATGTCTCCTGGACACTGGAGAGTACCGCAGGTGGTCACAGGAGGGTACCTTCCGCTGCGACCGGGCGAGTTGTTCCAGCAAACATGCGACGGTAAAGCGCTGAATGCCCCGCGCCCCAAACCGCTGCAGCGCAGTACTCATCGGGAAAAACACGCATCGTTCTGGCCGACGAAGCACGCAGCATCGACCAGAATTCGGCACGCGTGCTTTATGCCTTGGCCCGATTCGTTCCCAGCCGTTCCATCGGTCCCCCAAGCTAGCTGTGGCAGTATGGCCACCTCCAGCCGGCCTCACTTTTCCGCCAGTCTCCAGCGTGGGCCAGAATCGTCCTTCCGCCCGGGAGCGCGCCACTTGCGTCACCATCGTGGCCTTCGTCCCTGGTCGAGCGACCTCCCACCCATCTCTCGGACCTCGACCAGTCCAGAGAGCCGCATGAAGCCATTCTCGACAGCAGAGCCAGGGCGACCATCAGGAGCCATCCGCGGTTTCCCCCTTGCTGCCATGTTGACATTCTCCACGGGGCGACTCTCGTATGATTGAATGCCCTCGTCTATTGCCCACCCCCCAACCCCGACCTCGATTGTACCGGGCCCTCGGTGGGAGGGTAACTAGGGCAGCCTAGCTACCAGCCCCTGGGTCCAACCAGCCCTCCTCCGCCTCCTCCTGGGACTGCGGGCTTGGGAACATGGTGATTCCTCAAAGACAGTAGTCAGCTACACAGACAGGCGGGGCGGCAGGTAGAGTAACCAGGATTACACTGATCCGTGGTGAGTTTGAACAAGAGCCGATGACCCCCCATACTGACCAGTGTGTCACTGGATGGATCACCAATTACAAGGCCCTGATGTTCGCGGCACAACATAACGAACACCGATATAATCGTAGATGGTTGTTACCAGAGCAGGTTACGATCCGCTGCTTCGTACGGACGCCCCCGATAGCCCCGGTTTGGCTTCGTCGGGTGGCAATTGTGAAGCACATAGTACTTTTTCATATGACGACGGATGGAAACATGACCCCATTTCATCCCGTGCCATGGACAGCTGTGGCCAGCAAGCGAGGTTGGGGCACTGCTCGGCTGTCGATTCTAAGGATGACATAAATCGTCGATTCTCGATTCTCTTGCATTTGTAAGGTTTTCACTGCAGGTGCACGTGTGTGGGGTGCATGGTGCACCGTTCGCCCCAACTTTTGGTGCCCAACGTTTTCTTGCTATGCTGCATTAGCTGCGACTTTAGCAATTTGATTGCTCGCTGGTCGCCCCGTCCAAACACAACCACTATCCTCCTTTCTTCACCATTGATCCGCAACCCTATATATGTCTGGGATGTGGTTGATGTGTGGTTGTTCCATTATGCACCAGTCAAAATGACCGGAGAATCATGGGGGATGGACACCCAACAATATTGCGCACCACGCATGGCACACTGGGGTTTGGCGTGGTTGGCATCCCAAAGATGGATGCAGGAGTGGAGTGGACTGTGTGTGTGGCCTATTAGACCACGAAGCGGGTGTCCAATAGGCCGAGGGTCTATTGGTGCATCCTTACATCAGAAAATCCGCAGGAAATTTGGTGAGTGGTGGTGTACAAGAGGTGATTGACCACCCACAAGTAGTGGCTGCAAGCTTACTATGATGGCACTTTGATGTTGAAGGCGTTAATAGGTAGCGGCATAACCCATTGTCCTCCCAGCGTCCGTAGGACTGCTGGCGCTCCCCACATCCCTTCCACGGGCAACATAAACCTTTTGCGTCTATGTGGCGGTTACCCGATTACTGTATAGGTGGGTGCAACATGTGCATGTATATATATTCCTGAATTGATTGTCCATGTTATAAGTACGTGTGCATGGACGAGGGTGGCTGATGAGTGGCAATTAGAGCAGCGCTAGGCATGTCTTGCGCAATGGCTCCTCTGCGGCTCCATGGCAATCAACCATGTATTTTTTTGCTAGCGTGTTATGTGGGTGCCATCCATCTCTGACCTATCCATTGGCTCCCTTCTATAGACAAAAATCAGATGCGAGTATAAGCAATCTTCCACATGCTGGGCCTGGCAAAGGATTAGACACTCATCGGGCTCTGTAAGGCTAGGAAGCTAAGCGGACAAGGTGACAGATGCGAGTCAGGGCAATGATAGGGCATTGAACGGTGGAGTATGACAGGGTGAGTGCCAAAATTGAATGGCGCATAGATCGCGACCCAAGTCGCCCCAGGATGATGTACAACGCCTATGCTACGTGCCCGGATGGGTCCCACAACTGGTGGAACGGCTGGTTAGGAAATAGCCGAACCCATTTAGGCCGCTTGCTGTGTGAACATTATCTTTGGTTCTTTATTCGAGCGGAGTGAAATGCGACACAAAAGCGCGCAGACCAATTATCCACGCCTTGGGTGAGCATCGAGCACAACGAGGCGATTTTGGGATTTTAGTTATTTTTGGGTTATTTCACTACATAGAAATGAGGGCTTTGGGGACGGTCTTGGTGCTTGTGGGGACGGTGGCTTAAGTACATGGTTGGCGTGGTTTTCGGCTCGATGTGCGGGCGATGTGCCCGCCGCAACGCCCATTGCGGCGGGAATGACCTCCTCCGCCGGATGACCGGCGGGCAGTCTGGGGCGCTCGCTCCTTCGGGGTGCGCAGTGTGGACCCAAGCCTGCGATGGGCCGGGCGCGGGGCGGCAGTGCGTGCAGTGAGTGCGCGACGCCGGTGCGGCTTGCGGGTGCAGCAGCGCGAAGGCGAGTGGCCTGCAAAAGTTACAACTGGTCGGGCATCGGGGCCACCCTTTGGCATGCCCCGCATCACGTGACAATGCGGACAGCGTCACCGTATCGATAATATCTCATCCCCCAGTACGGTTGCAGAGGCGCCCTTAAGTACTAAAACTTCTATTGGCTATATCTCCACTACCGCTAACCCAAATGGTCTGATCCAAGAACCTATGGGTTTTTAGTAAGCTCTACTAAGAGATGAGACTGTCCATTAATGTTTATTGTACTTTCCAGATACCCATAACCAAAGAAACACACTACCCCTTATGCTTTACACCACAGTACTCCCCCCTGGGGGTAGTTTCGCCCTCGAAACGTTAGTGATACGGTTGCTTTGGTAGATGAATTAGATGTATTTGATTACTCTAAATGGGTCTGAGTTGGGTAAACTGGCCCTGGGGTGGTTACAAAGGACATGGGACAATGCACGGAGCAATTAAAAAACAATCTTGTATAATGTACAAATGTAGTAACCGCCCGGGGATTCCGACTCCCCGTTTCATCTGACCGTGTGCCCGAGGGAGCTTTGAAGCTCCCGCATCATTGGTTTCGGAGTGCGGAGCGTTCGAGCGGTAAGAACACACTGGCCGACGGCCGGAATGGCGAGTGGGGATCCTCGCCAAGAGACTGGGAATCCGGGGGACCAATCGGCCGAGCAATTGGTGCCCTATCGAGGCGGGCCGACCCCCATGGAAGTGAATGGAAATGGCGGAGGAGTGACGGTCGCGCAGCACGGAGAAAGTGAGGATCGGCCGGAGTTGCTATTGCTACGCCAAGTGGGGGTTGTGGCCGCGGCTGCTGCGAGGAGAGCGACCCTTTTTGCGGTCATAGAATGGAGCAATTCGGCCGGACAGCAGCAGAATACTACTCTCCGCGGCATGGGGGAAACGCTCGGCCGGCAGCTCGAGGCTGCCACGAATCAATCGACCGCGCAGCAGCTACAGCAAGGCCACAAGCTGCGCGCCTTGCAGGAAGGTGTGCATGGCAGAATGGCCGCGCAAGAAGGGGCCATTTCGGTGATCGGCACCGGGCTGGAAGGTGTGAGGCAAAGAGCTGAAATGCAAGCGAGTGAGCTCGGCAGAATGGAGACCGCCGTGCAAGGAGAGTTGCGCAAGGCTCAAGACTGGATCGGCGAAGAATTGGACTGTAAAATGGAGCAGATGGGGAAGAGGCTCGCGGAAACGGAGGCGCATTTTTCAGAGGCCAACCAGAAGTTGGCGGATGAGGTGCAGCTGGCGGGCACGATCGATGGCGGACGGTTCGCAAGGACTCAGGAGGATGTTTCAGAGGTACGCAAACGGCTGGTGGCATTGGAATCGGAGAAAGGAGGCCACGATGCGCGGTTGGAGGCACTGGCCAATGCTACGGGAAAGGCCTCCGAGGAGGCTTCGATTGCCAATGAAAGCTTGCGCCAAGCGGCGCGAGTGTTGGGCGACCTCGGCGCCGCCGTTCAAGCGCAGCAAAATGCACAGGAATCGGTTTCCGAATGAGTGGAAAGCATGGCTGCGAGCCATGCTCGAGAAACGGCCTCCATGACCGGTGAGCTCGGCGGCATCAAGCGCGCCATCGAGGCGCTGGACCGCAGGATGTCCGAGGCAACGTCCAGGCTCGTCGTTCGGCCGGCTATGCCGCCCTCGACCGTTCGGAGTCGGTCGCCGTTGCCGGTGGCCTCGGGCGCGGAGGATGCAGGTGCCGCGGAGGGAGATGCCGCCCCCGTGGGGCCTGTTCGCGAAAAGGTTACGCTTTACGTGGGGTTACGCACCCCTGGCGTAACGGCGAGCTGCGTGACGGCACAAGGTGTGAGTTTTGGAGTTTATTCACTGCCCGTCGGTGCTGTGTCGTGGAGTGAGAATCCTGTGAACTGGAAGGTGAATCAGAATGTGGACTGGGATGCATTTCGGAACAAGCGAATTCCCAGTAGCATGTACTTAGGGACAATGGTGCAAATTATCCCAAGTACTACGGTGCAAACCACTACGGCACCGCCGAAGAACTTGGAAATTGCGAGTGGAATTGTAGCACCATTGTTGCCTCCTGGTATCAGTCAGACAGCAGGCACTTCAGCACAACCTGGTCAGTCTTCCCGTGGTCAATCAGCTGGTCCGAGTAGAGTACCGTTATGAGTGAGTAGAGCTGGAGCATTTGGAGTTGGATTCTCTACACAGTCAGCTCGCCAACCTCCTTTCCGGGGGTTAGGCGTGCCAGAGGATCCCTATAGCGGGCTGGGATCGTATGGATCCCTGGGTGGTGGAGCTGGAGGATCAGATGGTCACGAACCACCAAGGAGACCACCCAGAAGGTCACCCTCAGGAGGCCCGCCTGGTGGCCCACCTGGTGGCCCGCCTGGAGATGGCAGTGATCGCGGAGAGGACGATTCGATGGGCGAGAGAGAGTCATCACATAGAGGTGGGTTGCCGGATGTTGGACACAGAGCTGCCGCTATCCCTGTTGACACTGGATTCGGGAGATTGAGGATTCCGATGCCAGAGAGATTTTTTGGCCACCATCAGGATGTGAGCTACACAGAATGGGTGCTGGCCATGTGCAGATGGCTGCGTGGCAATGCAGTGGACGAGTCACGTTGGCTGTCAGTGATGTCAGCAAACTTGTTTGGAGCTGCCATATCGTGGATGAACTTGGTAGAGTTGCAGGTCTATCAGGGGACACGAACACCTTTTGCTGGTTGGCGAGAGTTTACTGAGGCGCTGTGTGGCACATTTGAGTCAGCCACATTGGGAG